CCAGAGTCACGTCACATCACAGCTGATCATCCAGAGTCACGTCACGTCCTGTCTGTTGCACCCAGATCTTCGAGGTCAGTCCTTCGGTATTCCAGTCTGGTATCCAGTGTGAGGGATGCACCGCTGGTGTCTGCACGTGCAGCTGGCATCCCCAAACCAACTCACTCTGGCATTTCTGTTCCTGAACTGATTCCCCTGTCTGAAGCGCTTCCCTTGATGGGGATCGCTTTATGCTGTGTTTGGGCTGCATACACCACCACAGAACCTGCGGAGGCGCTCGCTTCAGCTCCTTGCGTGGTAGTGGCGCCCAGCAATGCACTCTCAGCCTGTCGTGTTGTGGTCGAAGAGACCATTACTGAGCTCTCCCTGTTTCCTGATGTTACTGCTGTAGAACCTCCAGAGGTGGCGGCAACTGCTGCAGAACCTCCAGAGGTGTCAGTGGTATCCACCTGTGAACTCTCTGCCTGTCCTGTCACGGCTATGGAGTCCGTCTGTGAACTTTTGCCTTGTTCTGAACTGGCCATGGAGGCGCTCTGCTGTGGTGGTCCTCAGTGCCACCTGTTCTGCCGGCTCCACCCTGGTTTCCTGCATTGCCGGCTCCGCCCTGGCTCCCTGCTCCGCCTTGGCATCCTGCTCTGCTGGCTTTGCCTCAGTCCCCTGTCTTAATCACTGAGTATTGTCTAGCGTTTATTGCTCTCCAAGTGATAGCTACATTAGTTTGTAGTAGTTTAATCCTGTTTATTGCCGTAGTCATTCGTGTCTTGATCCTAGCCTGTGTATCTCGTTTTGTCGGATCTCTGCCTGCCCTGAAGTATATCGCCTGTCTTGGATTACCCCTCTCATCTCGCCCTGCTCAGATACTGTTTACCCCTCGCCTGGACCATCGCCTGTGTTTCGGATTACATTTTAAGTCTTGCCCTCTATATACCTGTCTGCCATTGTCTGACTCTTGCCTGTGTTGACCATGTCTTTAAATAAAGCCTTGAAAATGGATCCGCACGTCTCTCGTCTCGTTCACCCCGTTACAGAAGGATAGTAATAATTGGGAACTTCTTAAATATGAAATTGGGAAGCATTGTTGAAAATTTTGTAGTACCTTAGTGAAAATAAGAAAAAATAATGAAGAAAGATTATGGCTAGAATCACTATGTTGTCACACAAAAATATGGAGGATCTTTCAGACTCAGAATTAAGAATTAACAGACAGAATTAAGCTTATTCGTCAGTAATATCATTTAGAGGATATATATAAATGAAAGGCTGAATATGCCTTAGATCTCGTAGGAAATGGCTAGAGGAGGGCGAACAGGACTCTGCCTATTTCTTCAGGCTGGAGAGACAGCAAGTTAGAAACTCTATTCAACAGCTATATTGATGGGAATGTAACTGTCATTTTGCACATTTTTGTGCTAAGTTTTATATAATGATCTGTATTCCTCTAAATTCTAATAGCAATCTGGTACAATTTAAAAAAAAATTCTTTATTGTACATAAAACAAATTAGTAAAGAAATTGTAGCCTATGCGAGGCACCTATTAGTCTTTCAGAAATAATTTATTCAATAAATAATCTAAAAAGTAACAAATCCCTGCTGAGCTCTACAAAGCTTTAAACGAAAGATTGGGACCTTTCTTACATAAACTGTTTATAAAGTGTTGGGAAAAGAGAGTGTTTCTCCTTCTTTGTCAATGACTAATAACACTCAATAAATATCCCCTTTTAATAGATAACTAGCACCCAATTTAGTTATTGAACACTGACTCTAAAACCATTGCCTTAGTCTTAGCAAAGATGCCAATCTGGATTTGTTTAATGCTTAGAACATTAATTTATTTTACAGGCCCTTGACAGGTTTTTGTTGATTTCTTTTGCAGATGTGTTCAAATGTTTTATTGTAAATGGGAATAGCTCTGTCCAGCTCAGTAATGGCATTTCTCCTATATTTGCTTTAAAGCGTGGTGTCAGACAAGCTTGCCCCATCTCACCACCCTTTTCTAACAGCTAAACTATTTTTTAATTTATATATTAAAGACAGTTTTGTTAAGGGTATTACCAGGACAGAATTTATAATTAGATGAACAACTTCTAGATGATACAGCATTGTTCCAAAAGATGCCTTTCAGATCCCAATTGCTTTAAACACCCTACAGTGCTTTTCAAATGCTTCTGGCCTCCTGCTTAATATTAATAAATGTGAGTCACAAAATGTGTTACATCCATCTGTACGCCATACGCTGGTGACGCCTGCTGGTCAAAACTGGGTTATTACAACATAACTGGGTTTTTTTACCAAAACGTGCATACATTTTTTTTTGCAAATATTTTATTGTAAGTATTATAGTATATATTACCCTATATATAGTATATATCGTAAGTACATATTAAATGCAATTAATAAATCATCAAATACCATTAAATATTAAAATGTATAACATGAAATGTATACATTAGGCTATAGCATGAATATGTGTTCTTTTATTAATTTGCTTGTTTTGTTTGTTTTATAGAGGGCTTGTCTAAACAGGTCAGTAAGAGACTATTAAATACTACTCTTCCTTTTAATTACACAAATGTCTCATTTAAAATGTCTACAAATGTATAAAACTGATCTGGTATCAGATTAAAAAAAACATAACTAGTGTTGGTGGAAATTAGGAATGAATATGTTAGCTAGCTCCGCACAAGGGCTGTAGGAATAACTTCCATTCAGTCCTGGGGCACCCATATTAAAGGGCCCCTAAAAAGCATGAGCCAATAAGGGCACAATAGGCCTGGAAATAACGAGACCATGGTCACAAGGCCGGGGTCAATGTCAACGAAGACCCTTTCCTCTCACATAGGGGATTAGGGTGATTAAGTACACAAGATCTGTGCCTGAAGAGCAGGGACGTCCAGGTTATAAAACCTAGTGAAGGTAGGCAGTGAAGACCAGCTGGCTGCCTCACAGATCTCTGATCGAGACTCCGCTGGACCAAGCCCAGGAGGAGGCCATTCCTCTGGTGGAGTGGGCCCTCCAATAGGACACTAAGTCCACTGGGGCGTAAGCCAGAGGGATAGTCTCTGCTTCGTAATTGGCAGCCCTTTAGCACGGCCTACGAAGCATACAAAGAGCTGCTCTAATTGCCAAAAAGGGCTAGAGCGCTCTACATAAACTCCAAGAGCCTGGACGGACATCTCATTAGGGCACAGTTCATGTGTCTGGGATCAAGGATGGGCCTGAACCCACCATCTTTCTTTGGAACGAGGAAGTAGCGGCTGTAGAAGTTTCCCAAGCCTGGAGCCAGGCAGCAAGTGGTCCGAGTGCTGTCGTGAAGAGGAGAAATGCTCTTATGAGTAGGTGGGACCGCTATCACAGCGGTAATTTGCTGCCGAGGCTCTTCTATGGCAAGTAAGCAGGCTTCTTCATTCTTCTTCTTTAGAGTCCAATGAGGAGATGATCTTCGCACTGAAGAAGAAAATTCGGATGAAATCAGCATTCTACGCCAACTTATATAGGCTGTCAGCTCTGCCCGTTTTGGTGGGCTGAAATCCCATTAGTTGGTGCAGCTACACGAATGTTAACAAATCAGGCTTCAGCATTCAGAGTAAACAGGAGTTTCCCATAAGCATGTTTACACAATGTGAATGACCTTTTCGAAAAAGAAAATTTTCACAGCCAATTATGGACTTGTTCAGCAATTATGCACTTGTTTATTTTCACAACATAAAAAAATAAGCAAATACAAAGCAGATTGGAATTTCCCTTTTAATGTTTAACAAAGAATCCACTGAAGCTTCAAGGCACATTACGGGAACGCCAATCCCCCAAGGAGGGCATTAACAAAAATAAAAATTTAAAAAATATTATAACAAAAGATCACAGATACACATAACACTAAAATAAAGATCACTGTGTAAACAAAACTGAAAAAAAAAATTCTAAAAAATTACCAATTGTTTCAACAAAAAAATGCTGACATTTTCATATTTCAAGTTTCAAAATTCCAATGGTAAGGAGTAATGTAAGGAGTAAGAACACACATTTTTTATCTATACACACACCCACACATTGCAGATATTCTATATTTTTATCAGCATATATTTAAAATTAAAATGCCATTCAAGCAAGAATAAATGAAAACTCTAAAATTGTTTCCTATTACTGATCTGATCATGAAGTCTGTTTGGTATGAAAGGTAATTAAACTATAAAGTAATAAAAATAAAACAGACAGTTAACACATTATGCCAACAATTACATTTAAAAAATCCCTGAGAACCACTCAAATTGTAATGACTTAATAAGCAAGGCAGCACGAATACTCTTCCTCCACAGCAAGAGCAAAATTTGAGCTCAAAAACAGCATAGTCCACATAGACGAAACTCTTTTAAGAGCGTAATTACACAGAGAAACACAAAGAATAGATAAAGAAACTATGTAAGCTCATTATTATATTCATGGAAAATAAAAGTCAAAGAACATTTTAGTGGACATTTGGCCTGATTATAGGAATCTTTATGGCTTCTGAAATAAAACTCAATGAACATGAATGCCTTAATTATTTTCAATAACTCTCAATACAGGTTGATACTGTTTGCTTTAGTCCATTTCGTGTCACTGTTGTGACATTATACCCCTGTCATCTGCCTGATCCAGCTGCGGTATTCTGTGACGCGTGTGTAAATGCCGGGCCTGTTCCTGCGGCCGCAGCCATCTCCCCAACTCACCACGCCAGCAAGAAACATGCGGCCATTGCTCTCAGTGGAAGTCATTGGACCACCTGAGTCACCCTGGCAGAGGAATGAGGAATATATGTGCATTACTGACAACTGTAAGGCTATGACATGTATCTGAATGTGAAAAAAACAGAAGATCTTTCATTTCACCTGACAAGCGTCTACGCCTCCACTCAATACACCTGCACAGATCATGCGTGGTGTTATCCCATCATCCATCAGCTTGTTGCACACAGTGTTGTTAATAATGCGCACCTCGGCCTTCTGCAACACTGATGCAACGGCGTCTAAAGCAGAGGGAAGACATTTAATTAGCTTACTAACAATTTTAGGTTATTATATCAGAATTTGTACTCCGGTATATTCACTGCAAACCTGAGGTTTTAAGTACTGTCTCTCATTATCTGGTTTGGACAAAGCAGCTCATGTCTTATTGTGTACTTACTTACACAATACCAGTCAAGATTTTAGACACACTTGATTAAATCTGAGTTTCTCTAGAGGGTGTATGCATAAAGGTGCAAAACAAATTGCACTGGCCAGTCTAGCAGTTGTGTTGAACTCATGTTTTGGTTACTCACTTTTATTTTTATCAGACAACTGATATGGCTGGATTTTCATTTCATAATGAGTGTACATGATTTTAAACTTTTAAATTTTTTTATATTAGGTCCAACTTTATATTATGTGGCCTTAACTATTATGTACTTACATTTAAATTAATCATGATACAATGCACTTATTGTGCACATACAAGTTTTTAAATTGTAATTATATATTTTTAAAAATACCTGCATGCAATTACATCTGTAATTAATTTCTGTAATTACATTTATAATTACACTGTTGACCCATCCCTTACACCTTAACCCACCCTTAAACCTACCCATACCACCAAACCTGTCCCTAAACGCACCCGTATCCCACCTCAATAGCAGCAAAAGTGTTTTGCAATACAATATGAACACAATATGTACATTGTACTTATTTTGATGTAAGTAGATAGTAGTTAAGGCCACCTAATATAAAGTGGGACCAAATATTATTTTTTGAATGGATTTAGGGCTGGAGAGTGTCTTCTTCTTCTTCTTCTTCTTCTTCTTCTAAAGTCATTTATAATGTTACAAAATATTTCAATTTTAAATAAATGCTGTACTTTTGAGCTTTCTATTAATCAAAGAATCCTGTAAAAATGCATCACGGTTTCAACAAAAACATTAAGCAAAACATTACACTGTTAAACTATTAGAATGATTTCTGAAGGATCATGTGACACTGAAGACTGGAGTAATGACTGCTGAAAATTCAGCTTTCAGCACAGGAAGAAGTCATTTTTAAATATATTAAAATAGAAAAGAGTTATTTTAAATTGTAATAACATTTTACAATATTATTGTTTTTACTGTATTTTTGATCAAATAAATGAAGACTTTCAAAAACATGAAAACATTAACATTTGAAACTTTCGAATGGTAGCGTAGGTTGTTACATGACTTACCAACTTCCTCTCTCTGTTTGCCCCAGCCAGTGATCCAGACAGATTTGCCTGCTGGGAAGTCATGTGTGGCTTCAGGTAAGCAGATGGGCCAGATGTTCTGGCTGAGAGTTACAGGGCTGTCCAACTCCATCAGCGCGATGTCATTGTCGTAGCTCAAGTGATCATACTGAGGGTGAGAAATGATGCGCTTCACGCGTTTTAGGGTGGACTTACTAGTCTCACCCTGGTTAAGTAGACCTAGATAGACTTCCCACTGGTCAGGTTGGGAATATCTAGCAAAAGAACAAACATTCAGTCAGGATCAAAGCAGGAGGGGAGGAGAGGGCCAAACAACATAAGAACTCACTTGAACTTTTCACTGTCCTGCACGCAGTGAGCAGCAGTGACCAGCCAGCGGTTACTGATAACAGACGCCCCGCACACATGACCTTGTGTATTCATGTGGAGGCTGACCTGCCAGGGCCATTCTCCCTCACTCGAGTCCTTTCCACCGACAATACGACTGGACTTGTAGGGCTTTGTCCCGCATTCTACATTGAATCGAACATGAAACACAGTTTGAAACATCACTGAAAAACATATATGAGGAAAGACAGAGAAATTCTGGACTTACTACATTCAGCTTCATCCGAATCATCCGCACAGTCAATCTCTCCATCACACATCGGGTTCAGCTTGCTAATGCACTGGTTATTTTTGCACTTATAGGTGAGATCAGAGCAGTGAACAGCTATGGCTGGATATAAAAGAGGCAACTGAGTCACTTAATATAGTGAGTGCTTATGTTGGCAGCATAAAAGTAACTGTGAAAGTATATATGTGACCCTGGACCATAAAACCAGTCATACGGGTCAATTGAAATTTAGTTTTATACATCATCTGAAAACTGAATAAATAAGCTTTCCGTTGATGTATGGTCTTATAGGACAATATTTGGCCGAGATAAAACTATTTGAAAATCTGTAATCTGACGGTGCAAACAAATCAAAATACTGAGAAAATCGCCTTTAAAGTTGTCCAAATGAAGTTCTTAGCAATAAAACAATAGAGGTATAACATTAATAATAATTATATAATTTACTATATAAACTTCTGAGGTCAAAATAAGGCCAAATATTGAAAAAACAGTCAAACTTTGTATTTATTGACTGAAAGTTCTCACATTTCTCACACTGAGATTCATCTGAGCCATCGCCACAGTCGTTGTAGCCATTACACTGCTTATGTGCTGGGATGCAGCGGCTGTTTCGACATCTAAACTCTTGAGCTTTGCAGTTCCCTACAGACAAAATCGGACAAACAACCTGAAATCGTTTCCATCACTTTTGCTCCATTGTTCATGATTTTGAGTGCTGGTTTCATCCTCACCACAGTTTTCCTCATCAGTGTTATCTCCGCAATCGTTCACCCCATCACAGCGCCAGAAACTGGGCTTGCAGAAGCCGTTCTTGCATTTTATTTGAGTCTCATTACATGCTGCATGCATGGGTAAAGAAAGTAATGCAGCACCAAATGACACTCGAGAAAACAACTGTCCAAAGACTAAGCACAAGTAATATGGTATGAACTTACTGCAGCCCCTCTCATCGCTCATATCTCCACAGTCATTGTAGCCATCACATTGCAGGTTAGGAGACACACACAGATCATTGTCACACTGGAATCTCCCAGGGCAGGCT